TTGGAGCCATTGGAATTGAGGCAGCACCACGCCCACCCTGTGAGCAGTGCCTGTGGCCTCCTGGTGAAACTCTGGGTCAAAGGGAGTTTCCCTGTTACACGTAGGCAACAGAGTAACGCATAGACTTTAAAACTTAGTCATAGAAGAAAGCGTCACTTAATTTGGAGGATACCAAGGGAAACGGGCGTCTCAACAAAGCAGTGCCTGGTTTCTGTGGGCCTGGAGAGGATGCCTCGGCCAGCCGATTCCACTTCCCTTTCTCACCATCTTTTCTCCCCATTTTTAAGACTAGCTGCACACTAACATTGTGGGAATGAGAGGCACATACTTTTTTTAACGTTTGGTAACTAAAATAGGTTATGGGCTCTATATTATTAGTAGTACTTGAGGTATATATTTAATTTTCTTAAATTCCCTTAAAACTTAATTTTATGTTTGATTTCAGGTTGCAAACATTAAAATCTGCAGCAGCAAATTCTCAGTTTGCCAGTTCTTTTACTGTCATGTAATCAACTAACTTTGTCTGTGGATTTCAATGTGAAGTATGCATGTTACTTTTATGTGTATTTAATCATGAAATTTAATTTTGCACACTTATTTGTAATGTTTCTTTTAAATAAAAATGACTAATTTTGTTGTACTCTGTACCCATCAAGGGAAAAGAATTGTATGTTACAAAACCAAAGCCCCAGTTTTAGAACCTTGTTGGACTGCAGGCTATAGGAGCGGCCCAGTGCACTTAGTGCCTAAACTGTCCAGGACTGCGTGGGGGCCAGGTGGACGCCCTGCTGCCCGTGTGGGTGATGGCCTGGCTCGGGGAGCAGAGGGGAAGAAAGTGATGTTCACTAGCGGTTTCTGTCGTCTCTGGTGGGGAAGCTCTGCCTGAAATCCCTTTGGGGGACACTCCCTTTGGGGGAGACACCAGCGTGGTGTCGGGCCACCCGTCAGTGTCCGTCTAACACTAGCCCTAACTTTGGCCCAGGAGTAGGAGGGGTCCTTCACATTTACATCATCAGTAGTTTATATTTTCCCCAAATATAATCCCTTTCGTGTTTCCACATACACATTAAACTAGGAAAAAAGTTCCTCCTCACAGTGTGTGGAGGTGCTGCAGGCTGGTGAAGAGCCAGTTCACTGGCCCAGGGAGAGGCTGTACCCAGGGCGACCTGCAATGCTCGGCACCTACATTAAGAATCCACGGTGTGGGAGCACGTCCTGGCTCTGCCACGCCGGGCACAACCTTGCCTCCTTTATAAAATGACAGAACAGACATCCTGGGTGGTGTGGATGACCACCTAGGGGCTCTGGTTTGTCTTCTCGGGGTTTCCCTTCGCGATGGTAAAGACACCACGTCTCACCTGGGAAATGCCCTGGACGAGGCTTCCAGAGAGCAGGGTGAGGTCTGGAAGGCTGAGGCAGCCAGCACCGTCCACCCTCCCCAGGCCTGTGCGCGTGGCCTCGCTTTACCCTCTCAGGGACGTGGCAGGAAGCGCCATACCTGGCGAGCAGGCTGTCGGGTGAACCTTCCTCGGTCTGTTCAGGACAGCAGCAGACTTGGTTTTTCAAATTGATAACCGCTGTTTGTTGCCTTATTTAGAGAAAGGGGGTTGCTCTAAGCCAGAGCCGCCTCCAATTCCTGCCTCAGCTGAGTCCTGCCGGCCCCTGAACGTGGGTACAGAGGGACACAGACGTAAAAGTCCTGTGTCCAGGGCTTCCACAAGCCCCACTTGGTGGCTGGGCTGGACAGGCCTGGTTTGTTTCTCCCCCAAGTGTCCATGTGAATGAACATCCAGGAACCACCTCACAGGGCCCTGCTCACTGGGCTCTTCTGCCTGCTGTCCAGGCCGTGGACGGGGAGGGCTCCTCTGCGCCCTGCAGCCTCCACCCCCTCCCCCCTGCCCCTGGCTTGTCTGTCCCTTTAGTCCTCAGTGGCAGTGCCCCTGCTCACTGCGGCCTGGAGGGTGAGGCCCGCTCCCCTCCTTACTCTGCTTGTGAGACCAAAGCTTCTCATGTTTGCATTTCTTTTTCTGCAACCAAACCAAACTTCTAGATGAGTTCACACAACTTTGTCCCTGGTCTCTTTCCTTTCTTTCTGTAAGAGGCATTTGAGCAATTACAGTACTTTTGGAACTTGTGCTAAAATTTTCCTCTTCAAAATGGATCAGAAAAGACTTACCAAAATACAAAATGTTCATTGTAAGAAAAGAACATAGAGAAGAATGTAAAGTTGGAATCAAAATCGCCCTGAGTTGCCGTCTCCAGAGAAGACTACTCTCGGAAAGCCCACGCCTTCTGGGGTGAAGTCTGTAATTCTCAGCAGCACTATAAGGACCATTCTTTAACTTTTCACAACTCGTGAACATGTCAAAACACTGTAATTGCCCAAAGATGCCTATTTGTATTTTTTGCTTCTATAAACGTTTTGGAAATGGAAATCCTTGTGCATACATGTTTACACACTTGTCCACCTATTTCTTTGAATAGAACTGGAATTGCCAAGCCAGAGGATCTGCACGTATAAGATTTAGTATGTTTGCCACCTTGCCTGCCATGATTCTGTCAGCTTCAACAGCCAACACCTCACATGCTCACCAGGACCAGGCTCTGAGCATGAGCTTTTTAATCTTTGATGGAGAAGAAAGATCGATTTCTAGCCAGGTTGAACATTTTGGAATACCTTTGCTGGCCATCCGTAATTATTTTGTAAATTGCTTACTCATGCCTTCGACTATATTTCTGTTGGTGTATTTTGTCTTTTTTGTTGATGAGAACTTTTAAAATAATCACCCCTTGTCGTTTTTTTCACTTTGGGTTTATTTCAGTTTGAGGGGTTTTACTTTGCTGTGTATGTATCTTGAATTTTTACATAGTCTGATCTATCAGTCTTTTTCCTTTATGGTTTCTAGTATTGGCTTGTGATTAAAACAAAACATTTTTCACTGGGTTCGATGTACAGGTCTTATTTTCATAATTTAGTCTGAGCGTGATTTCCAAACACGTAATGGGGAAAGGGCCTCATCTTCCTGCACCGGTGGGTGAGGCATTGCTCAAGCCAAACCAAGCCAGGAGTGACTCAACCCCAGGTCCTCTTCCTGCCCTGGGTTGTGGTATCTCATCCACCTTAGCGCTCTTTTCTGGTTTGGATGAAAATGATGCAGTTGCCCTACTACAATGCCATCTATCAACTGATTCATTTGTTATGCACGGACTTACTGTACTACTTCACAAAGAACTATGTTCTGGTTACATGGCTCTGCTGATCGTAAGCATCCTTAAGCATTTTTTTCCCAGATGAACTTTAAATGGAATAATAGCTAAAGATAGAGTTTTATTGGAATTCCAAAAACTCAAAAATGATTGTTTCTGAGGTGCTGAGGGACAGAATGTATCAGGATTTAATAAATATTTTCTCACCAACAGTAACGTGGTAACATCACTGAGGACACCGTAAGTGCACTGTCATTCATATTTGTTTGTTTTTAATGACAAAGCTATTCAACTTGTGTGGAAAGAAGCTGTGAGTCTTCCTTTTGTTCTTCCTGTGTTCTGTTTCAATATGATAAAAATTATTTTATGAAATTACAATTTGGAAACTATGGCATGTCTACATTTGCTTTTCTTTGTGTTTATCATGCATGGGGCTTGCTGAGCTTCTTGAAACTAGATTTATGGCTTTCATCAAATTTGTGAATTTCAGTCATTTCCTTGAATAATTCTTCTGCTATTGTCTCTTTCCTACTGGGATTCAAGTACACATGTATAACACCTTACATTGTCCCACTCTGATCATTGAGGCTGTTCATATAGTTTTTACAGTATTTTTTCCTGTTTTTAAAGATAGCATTGGGACTTCCCTGGTGGCGCAGTGGTTGAGAGTCCGCCTGCTGATGCAGGGGACACGGGTTCGATCCTTGGTCCAGGAAGATCCCACATGCTGCGGAGCAACTAAGCCCATGCGCCACAACTGCTGAGCCCACGAGCCACAGTTACTGAAACCTGTGCGCCCTAGAGCCTGCGCGCTGCAACTACTGAAGCCCACGCACCTAGAGCCCGTGCTCCACAAGAGAAGCCACTGCAATGAGAACCCCATGCACCGCAACAAAGAGTAGCCCCCGCTTACCACAATTAGAGAAAGACCGCGCGCGGCAACAAAGACCCAACGCAGCCAAAAAATTTAAAAATTTTTAAAAATTAAAAAAATTAGCATAATTTAAACTATTACTGAATACCACTAAATGACCTATTACTGCCCACTCTGCTTTCGAGACTGTACCATGTACTTTAAACTTTAGAAGAATCTGTCAGTTCTAAAATTAATTTCTAATTCTTAACTAAGCTTTTTCATTTGCTCATTCACATGAACAATCTTTCTTTACGTCCTTGTGCATATTTATAGGACACAAGTTAAAATCTTTGGTAATTCTCACATTTGGATTTTCTCAGAGCAAGTCTCCATTGATTTTCTTTTATTCTGTGTATGAGTCACATTAACCTGTGTGTCTAGTACTTTGGGGTTGTACCTCGGACATTGCAAATGGTATGTGTGTTGTTATGGATTCTGTTATGTTTCTCTGAAAAATGGAGTTTTTTTTCTTCAAGCACTCTGGACCCACCTGAACAGTCAAGACGAGAGTGAGGCAGATGAGGTGCTGAGAGCACCAAGTTTAAGGAGGCGCATGCTCGCAGCTTCATGCCACTGGGAATGATTGTGTCGTTTTGTCTGATGGTCTCTTACCCTGTTAATGTGGTGAATCACATTGATTTTTTTTTAAATTTTTATTTATTTTTGGCTGCATTGGGTCATCGTTGCTGCACGGGCTTTCTCTAGTTGTGGCGAGCAGGGGCTACTCTTCGTTGCAGTGCGTGGGCTTCTCATGCGGTGGCTTCTCTTGCTGTGGAGCACGGGCTCTAGGTGCACGGGCTTCAGTAGTTGTGATGCGAGGACTCTAGAGTGCAGGCTCAGAGTTGTGGCCCACGGCCTTAGCTGCTCCGTGGCATGTGGGATCTTCCCGGACCAGGGCTCAAACCCGTGTCCCCTGCATTGGCAGGTGGATTCTTAACCCCTGCACCACCAGGGAAGTCCCAAGACTATATTTCTTGTCATTCGTGATCACTGAAGTCTGTTACTTTAGCTTGTGTTCAGCTAATGTTTTGTCACAGATTTCCTTATGTTCCTGGATCCAGTAAGATTAAAAAAAAGAAGCTATTCTGCCCTTTTAAATCACCTGACCCATGCTGCCAGGGAAGCTACTTCAGGTTGTGGGTGTTGAAATAATGGCCAGATCTGAACCAGCCCCTCAGCAAACCGCCACAGGCAGATTAAAATACACAACTCAAAATTTTGGAGGAGAAAGTCCCTATTGTCCACCCTGGCTTCAGCAAGCTGTACCAGGAATGTGGGGTGCTGTCCCCATGGCTGTCTCACAAGGCTGGATGATGGGGGATGGTAGTTGCTACGTGAAATGCCAAAATTCACTGCAATTTACCAGCCTTTCTATATGGAGCACTCCCCTGGATATTGCAAGTGTTTGCGTAGACTCCATAGTTCCAAAACAGTTAATTCAGACAGTTCTTACAAGCTCAGTAGCTGATTTGATGGGGGGACAATTCCTGGAGCTTATCTGTGTTGGAAGGTTTTGAATTACAAATTCAATTTGTTGACAAGTCTATTCTGTCTACCTATTTCTTTAGTAAATTTGGTAGTTTGTGTATTTTGAGGAATTAGTCTGTTCCATCTAAGATGTCAGATTTATGAGCACAATTTTTCATAGGATTCCTTTACTATCCTTTTTACAGATGTGGATGTGGTAATGAAGCCTGCAATTAAGGTTCAGTATTACGTGCTGCCTTAACATTTGGTTCAGCTGGGAAGGCCTGGAATGGCCTAACTACAAGTTCCGCTACCCACTCTACTTCCATGGATAAAGCCCCCCAGCCAAACAACTCTCCTTATCAAACAGAACAGGTGCAGTTCCTGCTTATCCCTGAGTAAGCATTTTCAGTTCCCTTCCAGCGCATGGGGTTATTCAAACAATCACATCCTCCCGGAACGGGGTCCCCCACTCTTTTTTTTTTTTTTTAAACATCTTTATTGGAGTATAATTGCTTTACAATGGTGTGTTAGTTTCTGCTTTACAACAAAATGAATCAGTTATATATATACATATGTTCCCATGTCTCTTCCCTCTTGCATCTCCCTCCCTCCCACCCTCCCTATCCCACCCCTCCAGACGGTCACAAAGCACCGAGCTGATCTCCCTGTGCTATGCAGCTGCTTCCCACTAGCTATCTACCTTACGTTTGGTAGTGTATATATGTCCATGCTCTCTCTCGCTTTGTCACAGCTTACCCTTCCCCCTCCCCATATCCTCAAGTCCATTCTCTCGTAGGTCTGGGTCTTTATTCCTGTCTTACCTCTAGGCTCTTCATGACAATTTTTTTACTTAAATTCCATATATATGTGTTAGCATATGGTATTTGTCTCTCAGTCCCCCACTCTTGATACTACAAAGCCTGCCTCCTGTAGCCCTAGGTTATTCACTGTGTTCCCAAGTGACGCCCATGTGATCCTACTTGGCTTGCAGTGTCCTCGGGTGTGAGTATGTGTGACTGATAAACTACAGTTCATCTCATCTTGCCAGTGTCATAGTGTCACGTCCAGCCACCCCCAGGTACACAGGGTGGGAATACTGCCTCCATAACAGGGCGAATAGGTGGTAGGTAGAGCAACGGAGCTTATCACAGAGAGCCCATCTCTTATTCCTGATGGTGGTCATTTGTATCCTCTCTTTCCTCCGTCATTCCAGCCGAAGTTAATCTGTTGATTTTTTTTTTTTCAAAGAATCAGCTTTGATTTCATTGATTTTTTTTTCTCATTTATTTTTTCAATTTTTGCTGATTATTTGCTATGGGTTATATTCATTCTTTTCTAGTTTAAGGTAGAACTGTAGATGACTGAATTTTAGGTTTTCTTTGTGCTATAAAATTCCCTATAAACACTTTTAGCTGCATTTCACAAATTTGATATATTTTCATGTTCATTCTGTTACAATTATTTTCTAATTCCCTTTAAGACTTCCTGTTTGAATCATGGATTATTTCAAAATATGTCTAATTTCAAAACATTTGAGGATTTAAAAAATATCTTTATTATTGATTTCTAGTTTAATTCCCTAATTGTCAAAGAGCATACTATGTATGATTTTAATTCTTTAAAGCTTGTAAGTTTTGTTTTATGACCCAAGGTTTGGTCTATATTGGTGAATGTTCCATGTGCATTTGAGAAGAATGCGTATTCTGTTGAGTAGAATGCTCTATTAATGACAATTACATTGACTGGTGTTGCTCAGAGCTTTTATAGCCTTGCTGACTTTCTGTCTACTTATCAATTACCTAGAGAGGAATGTTGAAGTATCAAAATGTAATGTGGATTTATTTATTTTAGTTCTTTCAGCTTTTGCTTCATTTATTTTGTTACGTTGTCTTGCAGAATTGTTCCTTTTATCATGATGAAATGCCTGTCTTTATCAGTGATAACTTTCCTTGGTTTGAAGTCTGCTCTCTCTGAAAATAAAGTAACTACTCCTGGGAATTCCCTGGCGGGCCAGTGGTTAGGACTCTTGTGTTTTCACTGCTGAGGCGTGGGTTCAGTCCTGGTCAGGGAACGAAGACCCCTCAAGCCACACGGCACCGTCAAAACAACAACAAAAAAACTACTCCTGCTTTTTTTTTCTTATCAATTTATTTGTTTTTATTTTTGGCTGTGTTGGGGTCTTCTTTGTGGTGTGTGGGCTTATCATTGTGGTGGCTTCTCGTTGTGGAGCATGGGCTCCAGGTGTGCAGTCTTCAGTAGTTGTGGCACACAGGCTCAGTAGTTGTGGCTCGCGGGCTCTAGAGCGCAGGCTCAGTAGTTGTGGCGCACGGGCTTAGTTGCTCCACAGCATGTGGGATCTTACTGGACCAGGGCTCAAACCCGTGTCCCCTGCATTGGCAGGCAGATTCTCAACCACTGTGCCACCAGGGAAGCCCCTCTTACTTTCGTTTTTTTTGTTTTTGTTTTTTGCGGTACACTGGTCTCTCACTGTTGTGGCCTCTCCTGTTGCGGAGCACAGGCTCCAGGCGCGCAGGCTCAGCGGCCATGGCTCACGGGCCCAGCCGCTCCGCGGCATGTGGGATCTTCCCGGACCGGGGCACGAACCCGTGTCCCCTGCATCGGCAGGCGGACTCTCAACCACTGCGCCACCAGGGAAGCCCCTCCTACTTTCTTTTGATTAGTGTTAGCATGATGTCTTTTTTTCCATTAATTTACTTTTAATCTATATTAAGTGTCTTTATATTTAAAGTTTCTTGTAGACAGCATATAGTTGAGTCTTGTTTTTTGATCCACTCTGACAATCTATGTGTTTTATTGGTATATTTAGACCATTGATGTTCAAAGTGATTACTGATATAGTTGGATTAATATCTACCACATCTGTTATTGTTTTGTATTGTTGTCCTTGTTTTTTGAAAATGTTATGCCTAGGTAGTTGTTTTTTGCATTTATCCTGATTGGTATTCTCTGAGCTTCCTGGATCTGGGGGGAAATTCTCATTCATTCTTGTTTCAAACATTTCTTCTGCTCCTTTCTTTCTGGTACTTCCATTTTCTCTAGTACTCCTGTAACACATAGGTTATACCTTATGTAGCTGCCCCCACGGTCCTTGGATGTTCTGCTTTTTATTTTTATTTTTCCCAGTCTTTCTTCTCTTAGCTTTTTACTTGTGAAAGTTTCTATTGATGCATCCTGAAGTGCAGAGATTCTCTCCTCAGTTGTGTCCAGTCGACTAGCGAGCCCATCATAGACACTTCTGTTAAACAATGTTCTTTATAGTTCTTTAAGGATTTCCGTCTCTATGCTTACATCGCCTATTTGTTCTTGCATGCTGTCTACTTTATCCATTAGAGTCCTTAACATATTAGTCCTAGTTGTTTTAGATCCCGTCTGATAACACCAACACCCCTGCCACGTCTGGTTCCGATGCTTGCTCTGTCTCTACAAATTGTTTTCCTTTTAGTTAATACTTGTAATTTTTTCTTGACAACTGGATATGATGTACTGGATAAAAGGAGCTGCTGTACACAGGTCTTCAGTGATGTGGTAAGGTGCGGGATGGGGGTGGGGCAGGGCAGCAGTGTACAGTCCTATGGGCAGGTCTCAGGGAGCCTGTGCCTCTGGGCTATGAACTACATAAGAGTTTCTCAGGTTTTCTTCCCTCTTAGATGGGACAGGGTGGCTAGAGTGGGCTGGTTGGGAATTTCCCTTCTAGGTCAGGTAGGCTCTGGTTAACTCTTTTCTCCTGAAGGCAGGCTTTGTTAAGAACACAGTACTCTAGGGACTTCCCTGGCGGTCCAGTGGTTAAGACTTCACCTTTCAATGCAGGGGGTGTAGGTTTGATACCTGGTCAGAGTGCTAGGATCCCACATGCCTTGTGGCCAAAAAACCAAAAAACAAAGCAGAAGCAATATTGTAACAAATTCAATAGACTTTAAAAATGGTCCACATCAAAAAAAACCTAAAAAAAAAAGTGCTCTGGTCTATTTCAAACATGGTTCCTTTCCCCTCCCCTGGTTTTTTCCAATATTTTCTGTGAGAACCTGGTTGAGCTTCTGGAATTAAAATGTACAAAAGTGTGGGGAACCCCTAAGACTGGGTTCCCCTGGGGCATTAACTCTGAGTTGTCCCGCAGTTGACTGCTCACAGGGTAGGTTTTTGTAGCCCGGCACCGGTCCCCGTGGTAGTCTCCACTCCTGTGTTCGCCCATCTGTCTCTCCTATCTTGGGGGTAGTGGTTTGCCCTGCACCCTCACCTCTCTTAGCTCCAAGACGAGTTGTTGATTTTTGGGCTGTTGCACTATTTATGTGTTAGGAGGAAGTGGCAGCTTCCCAGCTCCTTACACGTGGAACCTGAAACCAAAGTACCTGCTTCATTTATTTTGAGGCACTGTTGTTGGGTGCTTGGAACCCTACGGTTGTTGTGTGTCTTGGTGCATTGACCCTGTATCATTATGTAACGTCTTTATGCCTGGTAGTTTTCCTTATTCTGAGGTCTACTTTGACATTAATATAGTCACTCCAACTTTCAAGTGTTCGCAGGATATACTTTTTCTATCCTTTTACTTTTAACCTATCCATATTATTTAAAGTAAGTTGGGTTTTATTTTTTGATCCAATTGACACACTCTTAATTGGCCTATTTAGACTATTTATATTTAATGTAATTATTGATAAGATCCTACCATATTATTGTTTTTTGCTTGTCCCCTCCCCTTTGGTTTCCTGGTCTCTGCCTTCGTGTTATTTCAAAATAAATTTTAGCATTCCATTTTAATTTACCTTTTGGATTTTTCCTTTACCTTTGTTTGGTATTGGGATTGCACTAGTGACTACAACAGACAAAGCTAGCTTTTCAGTCTACTTCAGAATGTTTTACCACTTCAGTGTAGAAATGTAGAGACCTACAAACCTTTGCCTTCCTCCTTTATATTGTACTTTTGTCAATATGTGTTAAGTTTATATACACTGAAAACCCTGATAGACAATGTTAAAACTTTTACATTGGAAAGTTAGAATATTTTAAAGAATTTAAGAGGAAAAACTAGTTATTATAGTTGCCCAGATATTTACCATTTCTGTTGATCTCTTCCTTCATTCCTTAAGTTCCAAAGTTTCTCTATTATTTACTTTTTGCCTGAAGAATGTCCTGTAGCGTTTCTTTTTGAGCAGCTCTACTGGTTAAGAATTCTTAGTTTTCCTTCATCTAAGAATATCTTTTAATCTGCACTCCTGATATTTTCTATGGATATATTATTCTAGATTGACAGTTACCTTAAGCCCTTTAAAAATTTTCTAGTCATAGGGCCTCCATGGTTTCTGATGAGAAATTTGTATTCAGATTGTTACTCTGTATGCAATAAGTCACTTTTCTTTGGGTGCTTTCAATGTAAAATGTTTTCAGTTTCAGTAGCCAGTGGTATGTCTTGACATGGTTTTTCTTTGAGTTTATCCTATTTGGAGCTTTGTGAATCTTTACAATTATATCTGGGACATTTTTAGGCATTGTTATTATTATTTTTAAAACACCAATGTCTTTCTCCTCTGGCTGTGAATTCATTAACCCAGGGTGTATTTGATCTTTTTATATTGTCCCACAGGTCCCTGAGGCTAAGGTTCGTTTGTTTCCGAGCATTTTTCTGTTGATCCACCGAATTTTTCATTTGTTAATTTTAAGTTCTATAGCTTTCGGTTCAAGAGAATTTGCCCTTACTTCATGGAGTCTGGTTACAGTAATTAAAGCCATAGAAAGCTGATGTCCTTTTCTGATTATTCCAACATGCTTAAGTTGACATCTCTTTTCTTTCCCCTTAAGAGATTTTCCTGGCTCTTTGTACACTGTAATTTTGAACTGTATTCTGGACATTGTTCATTTTATGAAGCTCTGAGTCCTATTTAAATCCTGTAGAGAATGTAGAATCTTTTTTTTTTTTTTTAAGCAGGCAAATAACCTGGCTAGGTTCAGAATAAATGTGCCGGCCTGCCCTCTGTGGGTTGTGGTTTGGGGTCAGTTGTTGGGGGTCAGTTGTTTCCCAAGCTCTGCAGTGCTATTTGGGGCCATTCTTCATGGGAGTTCAATTAATAAAGACTTTGCTTTGCTTCCTCAGTCAGTTCCAGGCATGTGCAGCTGAGGGTGAGCCCAGGATGCCATACACAGCCCTAGAGAAGAGAATCTTTCTCTAACTTCCTGTCTCCTAGGTACCCGCTTTCCTGGCCCTTGGCTAAGTCTCAGGCTTTAGCCTCCCTGCGATGTTGCACACTTCTTGGGGCCAAAGAAAAGTATTTCTCCCTCCTGCCCCCAACTTCTTTGGACTAGAAATGTCCCCTTTCCCAATTCCTCTTCTCTGAGTCCTCAGTGTCTCCAGGGCTCCTGCTTACAGGTATACAGTTTTGTGATTCCCCTCCACGTGTCCCACAGGGGCCCCCTTCCCCTGTGAGGGGAAGGCTTCTCTTGGGTATTCTGATGTTCATTCCTAACATGCAGTTCTGATATTCAGGCTGTCCTGGAGTCTACATCAGGAGATACAAGAGGGGAGAAAAATTCAGGAAAATAATCACCACGTTGGTTGTTCTTCCAGTTTTAACCCCCTTGCTATTTCTTTTTCAGAGGACTGTGACAGTTGCTTTATTTATTCAGCCAGTGGGTGAGACACAGGGCAGAGACCTCAGAAAGACATTTCTAAAATCAGAAAATTTTGTGCCCACAGGTTTAGTCATCTCATCAGAGATCACCTGAGAGACCCATGTTAAAATCTAATTTTGTATTGCTATGGATGTAAACATGGAGGGGTAACAACAAGAGGCAGTATTCCACAGAGACCTACGGTGAGTGCTGGCCAACAGGCTACAGTTTAAATCACTACATACTATGGGTTCTTTCACCTCCCATATTTAGGACTGAACTTACCATATGGCAACTGCACATAGCTTCATGACATGCCCCAATGCCTTCCCTTTTTTTTGGGCCGTGCCACGTGGCATGCGGGATCTTAGTTCCCTGATCAGGGATCAAACCTGTACCCCCTGCAGTGGAAGCTCGGAGTCCCAACCACTGGACCACCAGGGAATTCCCCCCTATATCTTCCTTAGAGACGAAATGTGGCCTAAATGTGGGCCTCTCCGCAATAACTAACATGGCTTTTGCTACATGAAAGACCTCTTATCAGAGTTACTGAATTGTTTCCTGTACCTGAAGGCCTCCTGCCTTCAACATCTTTTTCTTGGGTAAAGGTAGGTTATCCTGTAGGATAGCTCTTATTTGACTCAGTTTAACTTCAACAAGGTGACCCTAATGAATTACCAGAGGAGCTTTTCCTGAGTGAGAAGGGGGAGGTAAGACCTAATGCACTTTAAAGCATCTATTAATACAAAATGGACCGCACCTAAGAGCCTGTGCTCTGTGACAAGAGAAGCCACTGCAATGAAAAGCCCGCGCACCACAACGAAGAGTAGCCCCCGATCGCTGCAACTAGAGAAAGCCTGTGTACAGCAACGAAGGCCCAACGCAGCCAAAAATAAATAAAATAAATACATTTGTTAAAAAAAACAACATGGACAACAGATCTGAAAAAAACATTTAGGAATGCTCCCTTTTGTTAGGAGAGAGAGTCTCAGTACACGAAGAGCAGCTCTTATGCTAATAGAACTGTTTTTACACTAGGGCATCAATGTCAAGAACAAAACTCCATGTGAACACTCTGTGCTTGAGCTTCATTTAGCTCCCAAAGGGGACTTCGTGTCATTTCAGTATTCCCCCTTCCTCTTCCTACCCCTCAGGACATCAGCAATCCATACCACAGACCTTCTAGGAGCTGGACAATCCAAGTGTTAACAGTGTGGGGACCGGAATACCATGTGCCTATTTAGACAAGATTTTCATCTCATGGGAGGATGTATCTCAGGCTGTTTGCAATGATCTTTCTCAAGCTGAGGCGCAAGTCTGCAGAAGAAACGGCAGCTACAACCAGAACCTCAAAGTAAGTTTGAAAACTCTAACATGATGGATTGAAAGCCAGCAAGACTGTTATCGCTGCCTGTGACCCAATGCCCTTTTCACACGCAAACACTCAATGACCCCTTTCTTCTGGTGGAGTCAAGAAGCCTGAACTGCTGTCCTCACAGCAGCTCCTTCGAATACTCGCTCCAGTGCTCTAGGCCTTTGGTGTGCTCAGAGAGCATTTAAAAAAAGCAAAAAAGCATGCCTGCTTAAGCTTATCAAAATGACAATGATACTCTGTATTCAATTAAAATTAATAAAAATATTTTATTGAATTTTAGGAACTTGGTACTTTTAAAATTTCAAATCTTTGCACACAAATCACCACTATACCTTCTAGAATAGTGGAGGTTAGGACTTGAAGATTGCCACTTGTCTCTTTGTGTAACATAGCACAGAAATCCCAAGTCCTGACACGCCCCACCCCCTTCTGACCGTGGCCCCGCCTACTCTGTTGTTCTAGGAGAGGACGATGAGAGGTGTGATGCATTTAAGGAGCTCAGCTGTCCGGGTGGAGACTCAACTGACGTGAGAGGAAGATTAATCCAAAAACCATGCATAGACACCTTGGGATGCGCCACATCACTTGGATCACGTGTGAGTTTCCCTTTTGTATTTTTGTCTGGTTCAGGGCAAAGCTGCTGAAATGAAATTTCTAGTCCCTCAGGGAGCTCAGAAGTTTGGCAGAAGTCAAAGCAGAGACTTTTTGAAATGAGACACTTAGGAACCACCAGTGGACAGCCGGGCGGGAGTGAATTGCAACGTGACTGTTGATGTAGCACCAGGCATCAAGTGGGGCCACAAGGACAGAAGCTCAGTGACTCCTGGGTGTTGAAGGGCTCCTGGGGATTCAAAGCTAAATTTAAAAAAAATTTTAAGTGCCCAGGACACGGTAGTTTGTTAATCTATGTTTTCCTTTTCCTGCCCTCTCCTTGATATTCTTAAATTCCTATGTGCCAATGAATGAGCCAAATGAATAAGACAGAAGGAAAAAGGAAAGAGAATGCCCCACCTTTGAAAAAGGCATGCTCTAGCTCCCAGCAGCCAAAACTAACCTTCTCCCTCCTTTAAATTTGAGAACAGGGTACTTTTCTTACCTATAAACCAAGCAGAAATCCCTCCAGGCCCATAAAGTCTACATTTTAGGCTCAGAAATAATCAACTGATGGACTGGGCTTATGCAGGGAAAACCTACCCGAGTCTTTCTGGACGGCTGTGGAGATGCGTCTCCCGGAGGACGCGCAAGGCATTTGCTTAGTGTTCCCCAGGCCATCTCCCCATCAGGGTGGTCTTGTCCACTCACCTCCCCAGAGCTCACGGTTAGGGGGCTGCGGTGGCCATGACTAAGGTCTGGAGCACTCAGTGGAGTGACCCGATCCCACATGTAGGACACAGCAGATCCGAATTATTTTGCAAATTGCAAACCTTCTGAGTAAAAAGAAAAAAAATATACATTCCAAGGTATCTGTAAAGTGCCTGGGAGATGCAGATTGCTGCCCTGAGGTGCTCTGATCCATCTGTGCTTCAGTCTGCAAGTTAGATTTTGCTACTGTCACACACGTGGTCTCATTCACATGATGGTTTCGTTTTTATTTTTTAAATGGCTGAGTTATAAATCCAGCTAGTGTGCAGTAATTTCATAGTTTTTAATATGCATTATCTGCAACAACATTGTGACAGCTCCATACCGTGGATTGACACACAATACTTAGAACAGGTTTATCATATTTGGTCTTTAGGTAAATAATAACTGTTTTAAAATTGCCTAAATATACCATTCTGAGCTGTTTCATTCCACCAGGAAAATACAGGGGTTTTTTCCTCTCTTTAAAAAAAAATTAAATACCAAAATAACTACATTTAAATAAATAATGTTATGACGATGACATTTAAAAATTCACAATAAGGCCAACTCTTTCTGTTTGCATGCTGCTCAGCTCTGACCCCCAGAACCCTCTGGAAAGGTGAGTGGCTTTCTTCTGGAGGAACATGGGCTGAGGCCGTGCGGGCCTCCTACTTCTCATTCTCTCACCTTTGTTTCCTTTCCTTTCGCTTTTATTTTTTGTAGGAGAGAAGTCAGCCTTAGTACTGAATTCAGTTTTAAAAGGTTGAGGGGAATTTCCTATTACAAATCAGAAAGCAACCTAGGTGTTTCCAATGCTTACCCGGACGGAGGGTGCCTGCTTCCAAGACCCTTGTATTAACAGGCAGCTTCTGCTCCACCCCAGCAGCTGCTCCTGCCATGAGGGGGGCAAACCGCACCATCATCGGGGTGGCCGGCTGGTCGGACGATGCCGAGAGCTGGTGACGGCACCTAAAATAGCGAACGTGCCACGGAGAGATCTGTGATGTTTGTTTGAAAAGGGTGTGTGATAAAAGATTGAATCTTTTTTTCCAAATGAAGAAGTAATAGTTCTTTTGTTTTAAACATACACAATACATAGGAGACTTGTTTTACTTAGAGTGGAAAATTATGCCAGGGACAAAGTCAACACAAAGAAACAAACAACAAAAAGTAGCAAGAAAGAGAAATGGGTAAGTGCAGCTCCGCGAGCCTGGCAGCTCTTTCCGTCAGGGTTACAAGTGGCCCGCGGGTGTCCGTCTGTGTGTCTGTCCGTCTTACACACGGAAATGGAGGTGGATTAATTCAGGTAACTGCTCTAACGTGGAAAATTTGTAGATGTCAAGTAGCTCCATTTAACTTAAACAGGACAGACAAAAGTAAATCATTCCATAGGCTGAAAACAAACAACAAAAACAAACAAAACTACTTTGTTTCTTCTCCCCAAATGAAATCCACACAAAAGGTCCTGTGTGATTCCAAAATTACCAGAGTAGAAATGGAGTGATCTGAAATGTCAAAGACCCCATTATTTTGTAAAGAAAGAAAGTACACCTCAAAATATTCTAATTCCACATGTGAACAACAAAATACTGTCTCGTCTACTGGTGGCGGGGTGGCTCCGGCCCAGCAGGCCTGCTCGCACCGGGTGCGTCCTCCCTCGGAAGGACTGAGAGTATCTACTCGGAACTAAGCTGAGCGCTGGGCGGGGAGACACTGCCGGAGCCCAGCTTTGCTGCGTGTGGTTTTGTTCAGGGGTGACTTCAGTCTTTAAATTAAGGAGTTTTAAGGCCACCTGGGTTTGTGTTTCCAGTGCTGAGGTGAAGTCCAACCGCAGGGCCCTCTACCCACCGAGGGAACGCGCTCTGAGCGTCGGTGAGAGGCAGTGTCTCCTTTTGGCACCACAGAGTTGACGTTAAAGTGAGAAACACTCTCCCGGCCGCTAGTTCTGGACGCCCTTCTCCCGCACGGCTGCCGGCGGCGCATCCATGCTCAGGGCGATGACGAGGCCCTCGCCATCTTCTGTCTTGACCCGCTTTAGCTCTGGCTGCTCCGCCGGGTCGCCGTTCTGGCGCTTGGTGGGCAGGGAGGCCGACGCCGAGGCGTGTGTCGCCAGCATGTGCAAGGGACTCGCCACTGCTGTGGAGAAACAGTGAGTCAGCGCCCGTGCTTCTGGATGGACCCTCGTCCCCACCACACGTTAACTGCGTGAACAGTGAGTCTCTTTATGAACAGCCGGCATCTGTTTATTGCTTCCAGTCGTGTGCTGTCTTGCTGAAGCGAGAGGAGGGGTAAAGGGACTGAGGCAGAGGTGGGGCACAGAGCAGACAAGCTTTGCTGTTTTGGCCCACGGGCCACTGCCGGCTTCTCCCCGATGCAGAGTCCCCAAACCCAGAAGGGGATCGGGGTGCAGCAAGCCAAGCCTGCATCTGAGCCACACACCTTCTCCCGAGCCTAGCCTGTAGGGAGGGAGCTCTGCGAGCCCTGGGCCGGCTTCCCCACACCCCTCCACCCAAGCCCTTCTTCTCTCCAGCCTTCATCACAGAGGGGCCCTTCCTCCTCATGGGGCTCTCACTGGGCACAAGGGTCTCCACCACCTCTGATCTCACCTGCCTCGTGCTCTGCACAACCAGGCAAACTGGTCGTCCCACACCTGGAAGTGCTGCTTCCTCCAAGGGGGAAAGCAGGCCTGGGCTGGGAGGAGCCTGGAGCTATTCCACTCAGAGGGGGTTGGGGGTGAGTGGGGGGTGGGATGTGTGCTGGAGGATGCACAGTGACCTGGAGAAGCAGCATCCTGTCCAGGAAGACCCCTGCCCTCCCACCCCATGCCCTCATGCCCCGAGGTTTAGGACCTTGGCAGCAGGTGGCCAGATGGAGAAAGATAAGTGCACAAAGAGCTGGGAACAGCGACCCTGTCTCCTGAGCACGCCTGCGTCCCAGCAGTGACACGCGTGCTGTCCCACCACACTCATGTTAGTAAGTAGACATTATGGCTGCTGCAACTCATGACAGTTTGCTCTGCGTGCTGCATAAGAGCTGTAAGTATAAGGAGTTTACGCCAAGCTTTATAACTTTAGGTGTTTAACATACCGCTTTAGCTGGCACAGGGGGATTACAGAATTTCCTCTCAAGAAATGGAACTTGAAGCTAAGTGAGATGAAGGAGGGTCTACAAAATGAGAGACAGGAAGCCACGGGACACAGACTGAGGTCAAAGAAAGGGGAGCTCTGACACTACCAGGATGCCAGTGTCCCCACTTTGATCTCCAGATTCAACACCATTCCAACTGAAAGTCCCAGTAGGATTTTGTGTAGGAAAATTTCACGTGGCCATGCCTTTAGGGAACAAAGGGACCAGCAGCTGGACCCTGGTTAACATGGGGCCTCTGACCACCTCCAGTGTCATCTCTCAAGAACGACTGCTGTGTCACTTTCATGAATAGGGCATGTGTGGTGCTGGGGCAGCACTGCCACGGAGCCTGGGTTCTTCCAGCAGGACACACACTTCACTGCTGTAGTCCATGGCAGAGACCCAGAGCCTTGGCTAGTCTAGGAGATGCCCCACAAAATTCTGGCTTGAATAAATGCTATTTCAGGAGGATGTAGTGGCTGTAGAATCAGAGCAGAATGGAGTTAACGGTAGATCAGTGCAAACGGTCAAAGCCTGAAAAATGATGTGACTGGAAGAAGGGGCTGGTGTGCTGGGGCGGGGCAGCAGAGAGCAGGGCCTGCTGTCCGGGAGGCAGGGATGTGGGTGGAGCCTGGGTCCCAGATTCCCAAGCAGGCATGGCGTGGTTCCTAGGCCAGGCTGAGCAGGGTCTTCCGCTAACCATGAACTGCAAACCCTTAAGAAAGGTGACAGAAAGAAAAGGAAAGGACCAGGACAGTGAGGGAGACTGAGGAGTGGGCAGAGGAGAAGTCTCAGCAGGAAGAGTGCAAAGGGGCACTCAGGCTACAGTGAGCAGGTGGGACGCCACCCAAGCACGGTGTCGGCCCAAGACTCCATATCTGACCAAAATGATGAGGAGTCGTTGAAGAAATAACACAGCCCATGCTAGTGAACCACACATGTGCAACTGTGACTGAAGCCAGGGCCAAGAGCCCACCTCACAGCTGGACTCACCCTACCTCTCCACTTCCCATGAACACCGGGCATCAAAATGCCAGGCTTTCCTTTCCATGCCCTCCTCATGCCCGTGGTGGCAGTAACTGGAGCTCAACATACGTTCCTGGGGAGACGGGCTTCCTTTCCCAAAGGTGAGAGGGCAGCTGTGACAATGTGCTATGACAATGTGCTGCAGCGGGGCGCTCTCGAGAGGCCACACAGGTGCCCACAGAGCAGGGAGAACACCATGTTCCTGTTGGGGGTACTCTGCCCTCGGTCACATGGTGCCTCAGCAGGAGGGTGACTCAACTCCAGGGTCACATTCCAAGGGGACGCCAGGCACCATCCTGATCCCTCTCGCCCCCCACCCATCTAATAGCACTGTCTGCGTACACAGGCAGAGGCCAGCAGCTCCAACCTGGATGGTGGCACGGCCTCCTGGCTGATCCCCTGAAGCCTCCAGCCTCCTTGTGGCTGTGAATGTCCCTGAAATACCCATCTTAGGCTTGGACACTCGTTGGTTCCCCAGCTTGCCCGCTTCCCACACCAGCAGCCCCTGGCCCTGCAGGTCTCCCTGCCAACGTGCTGTCCTACCCAGTTTCCTGGCTGTGTCCTGGGATGCACTCTCCACTCAGGCGAGACTCAACTCCCCTCCAAGCATAACGCATGGACACATTTCCTGCTATAGCCCAGCACCACTGCTCCTAAGAGATGCCTGACACGGCTGTGAGTGAATCAGTGCCCAAAGCTGAGCCATACCAGGTGGGATACCAAGCTGGCAGGTGCTGAGCTGCTGCCCCGGGGAAACACGGGGTAGGGCTTGTCAACTGATCAACACATACCTTGTTTTATGTGGCTTTTGATTAAAGATGACTTAATCTATACTGTTGATCCATTAACACTGAACTCATGCCTGTACTTTCTCCATAAGGCACATCACAGCCTTCTGTGCCTAGAACACTCCAGGCCTTTTCAGAACCATGCTCGGAGTCCACTTTAAACAGCAAAACCGGGACTTCCCTGGTGGTGCAGTGGTTAAGAATCCACCTGCCAATGCAGGGGACACGGGTTCGAGCCCTGGTCCAGGAAGATCCCACACGCTGCGGAGCAACTAAGCCCCTGCGCCACAACTACTGAGCCTGTGCTCTAGAACCCGTAAGCCACAACTACTGAGCCCACATGATGCGACTACTGAAGCCCGCACACTTAGAGCCCAGGCTCCGCAACAAGAGAGCCACCGCAATGAGAAGCCTGTGCACCACAATGAAGAGTAACCCTCGCTCACCACAACTAGAGAAAGCCCACGTGCAGCAACGAAGACCCAATGCAGCCATACATACATATATACATAGAGTTTTATAAAAAAAAAACAAACAGCAAAACCACCAACAAAAATTACAAAACATGAAAAACGTGGCCCTAAGAAACAGTGAGTACAACACGTGTTCACAGTGGGAGCTGAAATGAGGAGGAGGGGGCACTGCCGAGTTGTGCTCCGCCGGGAACCAGCATGCTGAACTCGAATACTTTGCTGCTCTGCACAAGCCCGGAAAGGACTGTGAAATCAATACAATGAGTACTGATCTGGGAGTTACAAGTAAATTTCAGTGATCTGCAAGAAATCTGCAAATATGGAATCCATGGATACAGGCTCAAGTGCGTGGGACCACCTACCAGGAGTCCCACAGAGCAGCAGCCTCACACGGGGCGGGTGTTGCAGATGCAGAGGCAGAATGATGCCCCAGAGGAGGCGGCGCTGCCTCACTGCTAACCTGGCCACGCCCCACCAAGTCCAAGCAGCTTGCGGCAGCGGAAGACGGTGCTGGTCCGGCGGGCGCTCTGCCTGCTGCTACCGCAACCTGCAAGTGGTTCCCGAAGGACGCTGGGGTAAGTCAACAGAGAGCACACCACCAGGCAGATGGAGAAGGCTCCCACAAAACCCTTTCACCTCCTCAACACCTAGCAGGGCCTGGACCCCAGGGCAGCACAGGCTGGAGGCTGGGGCCACTTTCTATGAGAAGGAATAATACCTGTGAGCACAGGGGAGACTATTTAGGACAACAGATGGAACGCTAGTCATACGAGGACACTGTCTGCAGGGTAAAGACACCTTTCCTCCCGAGACCACTGCCCCACAAGATGGAGGTCTAGGGTAGCAGAGTCTCCACAAAAATGGACTGAGTACCTGTGACCAGAACTGTGGTCCAGTGCAGAAGAGGCTGAAAAGTGGCCAGAGCATGTTGGATTCAACCAATGGAATACACTGTTTTAATAGACTAAAGGAGTAACGACCATCTTAACACACGACCATCTTAACACAGAAAAGTATGTGACAAAATTCAACACCCTTTCATGATAAAAATACTCAGCAAACCAGGAATAAAAGGAAAAGTCCTCAACATAGTAACATGTATGATAACCCACAGTTAATCAGCTTCAATGGTGAGAGACTGGATGCTTCCCCCAAGATCAGGAACAAGACAAGGATGCCTGCTTTGCCACTGCTAGTCAACACTGCATTCGAAGTCCTACCAGGGCAGCTGGGCAGGAAAGGGGAATAAAAGGCATCCAAATGGGAAAGGAGGTAAAACTATCTCTACTGGCAGATGACATAATCTTTATATATAGAAAATCTTGACATAAGGAAACCCCCTAATCAAAAAGTAACACAATCAGGGCTTTCCTGGTGGCTCAGTGGTTGAGAATCCGCCTGCCGATGCAGGGGACACGGGTTCGTGCACTGGTCCGGGAAGATCCCACATGCCGCGGAGCGGCTGGGCCCGTGAGCCATGGCCGCTGAGGCTGAGCGTCCAGAGCCTGTGCTCCGCAACGGGAGAGGCCACAACCATGAGAGGCCCCGCAAAAAAAAAAAAAAAAAAAAGCAATACAATCAATTAGTATTAGTTTTTGAATTCAGCAAACTTGCAGGGTACAAGATCAACATGCAAAAAAATCAGTTGTATTTCTATACAGTAGCAATAAACAATTTCAAAAGAAAATTATGAAAAGAATTCCATTTAGAAAAACATTCAAAAGAAATAAAATAGGGAGAATTTTAACCAAGACTTAAACACTGCAAGATTTATATACTGAAAACTATAAAACATTGAAGAAATCAAAGACCTAAATAAATGGAAAGACATTCCATGCTCAAGGATTAGAGAACTTAATATCATTAAGATGGCAATACTACCCAAAGTAATCTACAGATTCAACGCAATCCCTATCAAAATCCCATTTTTCCCCCCAGAAATGGAAAAGCTGATCTTAAAATTCACATGGAATTGTAAGGTATCCAGAATAGTCAGAACATTCTTGAAAAAGGACGGTGGACTCACACCTCCGGATTTCAAAACTTCCTACACAGCTACAGTAGTCAAAACGGTGTGGTGTTGGCATAAGGGTAGACACGAAAATCAATGAAATAGAACTGAGAGAAATAAATGCATACATCTGAGGTCAACAGAGTTTCAACAGTGGAGCCAAGACCATTCAACGGGGAAAGAACAGTCTCTTCAACAAGTGGTGCTGGGACAACTGGATCTCCACATGCAAAACAATGAAGCCGGGCCCTCACATTATATACAAAAATTAACTCAAAATGCATCAAGGACCTAAACATAAGAGCTAAACTATAAAACTCTTAGTAGAAGAAAACACAGGAGTCTAAGTGTAAGTCTTCATAACCTCAGATCTGGCAATGAATTCTTACATATGACACCAAAAGCATAAGAAACAAAAGGGAAAATAAACTTCATCAAAATTAAAAACTTTTGTGCATTAAAGACACTATCAAGAAAGTGAAAAGACAAACCCACTGAATGGAAGAAAATATCTGCAAATCATATACAGGTATCCCCCCACGCCCCCCTTTGCAAAAGTTCCCTTATGCCACTTCACTTTTATGAAAGACCTACGTTAGTACCCATTTTTGATAATGGAAAGAAATCTGAAGAGGATTTTCACTTTTATGGAGAAAGGCAAAAAGCAAAAATAGCGTTTACCATGTGTTTTGCAGCGAGCCATTGGAGAGGCAGCAGCAGCCTGAGCAGTGAGTGACATCGCCAAGTTCCTCCCCAGGAACCATACTCCATCTCAGCATCAAGCCGCCAGAGCTCTGAACTGTGTCTCTGAGTGTCTGTGCTCTACCTTGACTCATTTTGTGCATCTGTTAGGTTTCACAGGAACCCTCTACTTTGGATAGCAGGGGAAACCTGTATCTGATCAGGACCTAGTATCCAGAATATATAAAGAGCTCCTATAACTCAACAACAAACAACCCAATTTAGAAAAAAAGTCTAAGGATTTAGACATTTCTTCAAAGACGCTATACAAATAACCAACAAGCACATGAAAAGATGCTCAACACCATTAGTCATGGAGAAAATGCAAATCAAAACCACAATTAAGAGTAAGATGGCCATGATCAAAAAAAAGGAGAAAATACCAAGTGAGAATGTGGACAAATCAGAACCTTTGCACATCATTGAGGATGGAATTGAAAATTGTTGTGGCTGCTGAGGAAAAGTTTGGTGGCTACTCAATAAATTAACAGAGAATTACCATACAACCCAGTAATTTCACTCCTAGGTATACACCCAGAAGAAATGAAAACAAGGACTCAAACCAATACGTATATGAATGTCATAGCAGCAATATTCCCAACAGCCAGAAGGTGGAAACCACCAAAATGCCCATCAACTGATGAATGAATAAACAAAATGGAAACATATTCAGCTAAGGAATGATGTACATATGCTACAACATGGATGAACTTCAAAACATTGTGCTAAGAGGCCAGCTAAGAAGAGCCACAATTCATACGATTCCATTCACAGGAAATATCCAGTACAGGTAAATCCACAGAGATGTAAAGTACATTAGTGGTTACCAGGGACTGAGGTAAGTGGGGAATGGGGAGTAACTGCTTAATGAGTGTGAGATTTCCTTTTGGGGTGATGAAAATGCTTTTCAACTAGTTAGAGGTGATGGCTTCAAAATACTGTGAATGTACTTAATGCCACTGAAGCACATACTTTAAAATGGTAAACTTTATATTATGTGTATTTTATTGAATACCACAATTAAAAAAAAATACAGATGATTTGAACCCTAAGGAGACACTGGGTATAAAAGAATTATTGTTGGGACTTCCCTGGTGGCACAGTGGTTAAGAATCCGCCTGCCAATGCAGGGGACATGGGTTTGAGCCCAGGTCCGGGAAGATCCCACATGTCGCGGAGCAACTAAGCCCGTGCGCCACAACTACTGAAACTGCACTCTAGAGCCCACAAGCCACAACTGCTAAGCCCGCGTGCCACAACTACTGCAGCCCGTGTGCCTAGAGCCTGTGCTCTGCAACAAAGAGTAGCCCCCACTCCCACAACTAGAGAAAGCCCGTGCACAGCAACGAAGACCCAACGCAGCCAAAGAATTACTGTTTATTTTTAAAACTATAACAATGGTATTGTGCTTATATACTAAAAGGGAGTCCTTATCTTTAGAGACGCATGCCAAAACAGGGAATGACATGTCTGGATCTGGGTGGGAGCAGATGGGACGGGTGAGGAATATGGAACAAGGCTGGCTGTGAATTAATTTTCAGAAAGTTTGTCATTTTCCGTAATAAAAATTTAAAATACCAAAGCTTCTGATTTTCAAAATTCATTAGTACTAGGCACTGCTTCCCTTTCTTGAGAGTGACTTTCAAGGGTAAGGGAGGTCACAGCTGGGTCATACAGCATCCACATCACACCCGACAGCAGTTTTCAAAAAAAACCACCATCAGAGTCTCCACTTGCCCATGGAATCTTTTTAAAAGCTGATCTGCCACCTCCTCCCTCCTCCCCTTTCTCAACAGCCTCTCTCTCACCCACTCAACTGGGGTGCTTTTGGGGATGCAAATGTCAAGATGGAGCATGAAACAAAGGAAGAGTGGAACACTGGCACTGTGGACCTGACTTACTACTGACTAGACATCAAATCCTCTTCTAGACCAAGTGGTTTCTAAGTAAAAGGTTGAGACTAAATTCAAGGAGAACCAATAAAATTTCCCACTAACAGATAATTCCCACTAAAAGATGACTAAAACTGGAAGGAGTTTTAGCATTTCTTCTACCCTTCCTTCTTCTGAGTGGGAACAAGGTTTCTCAGGGCTGACCCAGCACTTTGCCTACTGCTCCCAGCAGTGATTGTCAATATAATACAATAATTGTGTGGTTTTCTTTAAAGCCCAGATATATTGAAAAATGCATCTTTAATACTACCTATCTATCTAGCTGTGCCATGCGGCTTGCAGGATCTTAGTTCCCTGACCAGGGATTGAACCCGGGTCCATGGTAGTGAAAGCGTGCAGAGTCCTAACCACTGGACCACCAGGGAATTCCCAAATAAAATTTTTAAAGAATTATAAGTTTGGTTTTGATCAATTCTATAGTTATAACAATTGATAAGTGAATCCTTATAGTCACAGACAATTAAATCTTTAGTATTTCTCCATTTTATTATTGCAAAGAAAAGATGTACTCAGTAAATGACATTTAAGCATAAAGTATGTGGCACTAGCACAAAATCTGTGGGGGACATGAGATTGAGCCACGAGGATTGGTGAGCCTGCTTGTCTGTGTGCTGATATGTGGGTGAGAAGGGGCATCAAATCAGAGCAGTATTCAGAGCCAGGAGCACGTTTAAAAGAATAAGTTTTATTTTAAAACATCAGTATTGGGAATTCCCTGGTGGTCCAGTGGTTAGGACTCCGCACTTTCACTGCTGAGGGCTCAGGTTCAATCCTGGTTGGGGAACTAAGATCCTGGAAGCTGTGCAGTGCAGCCAAAAATAAAAATTAAAAAAAATATTTTAAAATAAAACATCAGTATTTTCAATAGTGGAAAATTTAATTCCTTGCTTATTAAATTTATAAAGAAAAATTTTAGACACCAATTTAAATATGTGAAAGGGATACACAGTTTCTCAAACTCTTTAGACAGGTGGCCATAAAAGGGCCCTGACCTGCACAGCAGTTCTCAGAAGGTCTGGAACATGTGGGAAATGTACATTCTTGGGTCCCAGGCCAGACCTGCTCAGTTGGGGACTGTGGGAGGGAGGCCTTGAGTGATTCTAAGGCACATGGTATCTGGGAATCAACAGCCTACACCATGGCTTAAGACAGGGAAGAATGGCTCTGACCAGAAATAGACTGTCCACCTCTTGACACCACCTGCTCACAGCCACACACAGGGCCACCAGGTTTGCCACATCTGGACCACCTGTAACAACCAGGTTATTCATGAAGAAAAGAAGAATGAGGCCTGAAAAACTCTTAAGTTACTTAGGAGACACCGGGCTTGAGGAAGAAAGCATTTTAAATGGGCAACTGGTTGCAAACTTCTCAATTTATCCACAAGTGGCATGTTACCTATTACTTAAAAACAAAAAACTCTCAGTGGTTAGTCTTCCCTAGAAAAGGTTGCAGATATTATTCGTCCATTAAATTTGGGGAGGAGCAAGGGGGAAGCGGAATCACATGAGGTGTCTGTCCCAGGTCTCTGTCCCTTCATAGCTCAGTAAGGAAGGATTCAGAGGTCAACACTATTAAGCCTTCTGTTCCCCACCCTCTTTCCAAGAAACCTTCTCTGAGCACAGAGAGCTACTTTGAGCCAGTAGCTTCTGATTCTACTGCTTGGAGTCCTGTAGTTGAATCACGACAGCCCACGTGTGTGGACAGCAAGCACACTCCACATGCCTGGGTGAAGACTCACTGCAAAGACGTCTGAACACCAGTTCCAAGGAGCCCAAACTCCTGAGCTGACTTAACAGCCAGCTGGACTCCTACCCTTCACACTGCTCCACGGGACTGGATGGAAGAAGGTTCTCTGTCCTCTGGTTTAAAAGCCAAGCTCCCTTAGGCTCGTCCATGTCAGAACATCCGTGGGAGCTATGTGCACGGGGCTCCAGAGGGCTTTCAGAGCAAAGAGAACAGGAGACCAGCATTCTCCCCTTCCACCATCAGATACTCTCAAGCACACCCCTGCCCCAGGGGAGGGCACCACCATTGGACAGATCAGCTGGGACAGCCCCCAGGTTGCTTCTAGGCCACACCCAGATGTCTACAAAAGGTGGGAGTATTTTCATCTCTCTAGATAAGTTAAGTCCCCTACATACAAACCTTCAAGTTGCAAACTTTCAAGATGCAAATGTGCATTCCATCTATGTCAGGCGTGGGTGAAACTGCAGCTTGCCCTCCGTCTCCTATTGCTGACGATCCTTCAGCTCTACCACCTCCCACCTCCTCTCCCTCCTCCAGTCAGTAACGTTTCTTGCCTGTTCACTCCATGCCAGCCCCTGTGTGCCAGCTGTTGTACTGGTACTACTGTACTTTTCAAGGTACTGCGCTGTAAGATTTAAAATTTTTTTGTGTTTTTTAAAATATATTTGTGTGGAAACTATTATAAACCTATTACAGTACAGTACAACATAGCCGATTGTGTTAGTTGGGTGCCTATGCTAACTGCTGGACTTACGAGCAAAATGGACTTAAGAACGCGCTCTTGGAATGGAACTTGTTCATATGTAGGGGACTTACTATATTTAGAAATGCTTCTCTCTTCAGATGGCTCCTCCAATGGGAATCACATGGGAGCCAATTCCCACAGCCAATTCCCTGGTATCCTATAGCACTATTCAGTTTCCTATAGTTTAGAAATGCAAACATTTCTTCTGACAAAAAAATTGTAACAGAAGGAAAACCTTGAACACCACACTTCATAAAAGGACAGCAGAGGACCTTTGCTCAAGTTGTTAGCACCCAGTAACCCACGGAGGACACTGCTTACCATTATTCACCTGGCCGTGGACGGCGGCGGGGATTGGCACCACGTGAGTCCCGTTTTGTGTTACAGTTTTTATTGGAAGCTGGTGCTGACCTAGAGGTGCCTGCTGCACTATGGTGACCGTCTGGACAGGGGTGGTCTGTGGCGTCTGAATGATCCGGCCAGCGGCACCTAGTGTGGCATGGCTAATCGCAGGAATAGGTTCTACTTTCACTAAATTCAAAGAAAAGGAAAAGAGAAAACATGACACCAACTAATATTACTGGGTAGCTTACAAGAATCTCACTAGTTTGAAGTACAACAAACCAGGCGGCGAGCAGCCCTGCTCCAGCACAACATTACATAACATGTTAGCAAGGGGGTCAGGATGAATGAGGCTGGCGGGTTTCTAAGAGCTTGAAAAGCTGCCCGAAGTGACTGCTTCCGCTGCTCACCTTTTACTTCTCTGTGGTCTCCATTCTCTTGTGGCTCTGCCTTAGGGGGGGCCAGCACGGCCGCCTGAGTGACCACGGCCTGTCCTGCGACGGTGTACGTGTTTGCCGGGGCCAGTCCGGCCACGCTGGTGACAGACACCGCTGGGATCTGGTGGACGACGTGAACCGTCTGCACGACGGGCTGCTGGGAGGTCGAGGTGGTCACAGGGGCGGCGACAGTGTAGGTAACAGGCTTGATCGTCGGTGGCAGTGGTCGCTGCACGGCGATTAAGACGGGCTGACTAGACAGAGGTGAGCCTACCAAGGACAGGAGTGGGGGTGAGGCTCAAACATCCCAAACCAACTAACTACAACCCCTTACTAGCAACATGCAGACTGATTTAAGAAAACAGGACATGGCCCCTTTCGCCTGGTAATAATAAAGTCATTCATGATGAAAGAAATGACATATTTAATGGGGATATTTAATGTATATCTAACTGCTAAAATGGCAATCTCTGCTTTGTTCACATTTCTTTTCTTTTTTTTTGGCTGCACCATGCAGTACGCAGTACTCCCTGACCAGGGATCGAACCCGGGCCCCCTGCAGTGGAAGCATGGAGTCTTAACCACTGGACCACCAGGGAAGTGCCTGTTCAGATTTCTTGCAACACCTCTTCCCACAGTTCTCTCATCATGAAAAAGAAAACCTCAACACAGGATATGGGAAGAAGCTGCCCAATGAAGCGTGAAGGAGGGGGCCATGTTCCCCAAGATCAAAGTCTCCATCTTATGATGGGTGCAGAGGAGCAGGAAGTGTGGAGACAGAGCTGGCAGCCAGCAGCTCTGCCAGTCTCTGTTCTTTCTGATTTGGGCGTTTGGACTCCAGCAACAGGAATGGGGGCTGGCAGGGGGGGTGTTGCCAGCACAGCCAGGAATTCCAATATACCAAAATGCACATTTTGCCAACCAACTAGGAACCATAACAGAATTACTTTGGACACATTTTCACACTATTTTTTTTTTTAATCCCCCAGGGCACATATTTTTATTCTACATTGCGACTTTATAAGTACACTGAGAAATGCTCACCTATTCATTAAATAGACATTTTTTTTGCTGCTAATGTCTACTTCGTCTAATTTATGCTATTTCTTTACGAGGGGAATCTTTCTCATAGATTTTTGAATGATGAAGCAACTAAGAAACGGGTTAATTCTAAAATTTTTCAGGCACCTACACACAGAGTCATAAAAGTTGACTGATTTTTTTTTTTTAACACAGTGCAATTAATTTTTCAGAGCCTATAAAATAACATTCAGGTACTATGCAGAAAGTATCAGGCACAAGGTGCAAAGGATCCAAGGCCTCTTGCTATTTCTTCTCTGATGAGACTGGCTCACATGCTCATCTGACCCACCCCTCTCCCACCACACTTGCCCTCTGCACATCTCACCTGGTGCACTCTGGGCAAACCGTGCCTCCTGGATGACAGCGAGTTTGGGCTGTGAGGCACCAGGCTCGGGCTCCAGAGGGGCTGGTGAACCTTCCCTCGACAGGCTCTCGGGGGTCTGGGCGCCACTGGAGTGAGCAGACAGCACTCCAGCATGATTGGGAGAGGCTGGGGCACTTCTGTATGACCAAAAGAAGACAGTGGATTTTTACAGGTAAAGCACTCATAAAGCTGCCTTGTTTTAATAGGCGTATTTTGCAAAAACAAAGATGTCATTTGTCTTCTGCCAACCAACTACAGTTCCTTAAGTCTTACTTTAGGTGTGATGCCTGTGACCTGAGATGGACACTTAGCGAGGCTGGCATGGCTGTGACAGAGCCACTGTATGCAGGGCGCCGCTGCTCCACACCCAGCACAGGCTGCACAGCATGGGGCGGGACTGGTTGCTTCCCTAAGCAGCTCCCATCCACAGCCAGGCAGCAGGAGGCAGCAGCGAGCGAGCCGGCTGGGGCTCAAGACTTAACATTACAGTCATTTCTTTTTTTTGTTTAAAAACAGAAATCTACTAATGGAGCTAAAAATATGGCTTTTAAAATCAGGCAATTAACACTGTATAAACCAATCTTGAGTTTAAGCTGCTAAGATGTAGCTTTAAAGAGCTTTTCACATCCAAGAAAAAGGAAAAAACATGATTCATCAACGTGGCATCGTGCTATTGCCGACTCATCGTATTGACACTATGCATTCAACGCAGCAGCAGTGTTACACAGGAACGAAGTTTAAGTAAAACTTTATAATCTGAATTGTTTCAGACCACTAGAAACAAAAATACATGGGTGGCAGCCAACATTATTTTTTTTCCAAATCCCCAACCCAACATTTAACCATAATGCATTTGGTAATTCCTTCGTTTTCAAAAGGAAAATTTACCAATACATCAAAGGTAAATTTACTGACCATTAAATGAGGTCTTTTTGTTTGTCTTTTTTCCTTACCTAGAGGAGAGCGGTCCCAGAGGGGTTCTAAAGCAAGGCACGCCCCTAGGCCGTCTTTTCCTAAAAGCCTGCTCTATTAATTTGCTTTCAGAGGCAGGGTCTATCCTCCAGAATGAGCCTTTGCCTGGTTCTTCCTGGGAACGTGGTACTTTGATGAAATAACGATTCAGAGAGAGATTGTGGCGAATTGAATTCTATGAAACATAAAAAAATACGTAGAATTCATATATTTCTTTGCTGAGAAATAAAAATGTGCCCCAGTTTTAGTGCCCTGCAAAGGTCCTGCAGCTCTGTGCTGGAAGGAACCGGCCCTCCCCAAAGTGAAGGAGGAGCTGCGGGGTGTGACTACTCAGAGGCTGCGACGTGGCTTCTACAGAGGAAAAGACACAAGGACACAGGGCACTGTGAACAGCATGGCAGGATGGGCACCAGGAGGCAAGGAAGGGAACTGGGGAATGGGGAAGGGGTGAGAAATCTACACCACACAGAAAGAGGCTATTTCCAACAGGAAAAACGTCAACTTCCACCTTTTTACCAGGTAGGAAATCAAGGGCTATCACTGTGACCTCTCCCTGTTTGGAGAAGGACAGCGCTGAGATCCACTATTCCTTTAAAATACTTTTTTGAGCACAAAATTAGCTTATAGAAACTGTCACAGCCTTTAAAATGAATTAATCCAGCATAAGGTATTTGGCAAACCAGCAAAGAAAAAATGAGCCAAAGTTTGAGAAATATTATTGACACCATCTTCCCGTAAAAGAACTTCTATATACTTTGATTCTCAAAATAATATTGTGAGGCACATTGAGAAAATTTTTCTCAATTCCTAAGTCCATTCTTCTATTACAAAAAGCTCAGCTCACAGTTTACACGTGATTTGAGGACAGCTCCCTGATGCACCGAAATCTGAGATCTACGAAAGGTCAGGAAAAGCTGGATGGAAGTCCTGCATTCAGATCCTTTCGGCATTTACATTAATGCTTAAATTTAAAATTAATAAAGTTTCAACCCAAACTAAAATTCTGGCTATCCAAAAATCATTTCTAAGTTCTCCAACTAACTTTCTAATAGAACTGCTAGTCACGACCTGAAATTCTGAATTCCCAGAGGTGGCTCAGAAATCAAAACATGTCAAATACTACTTTACAACCAATCTAAGGGACTATTCAAGAACCAGACCAGTCACAGGCCATGACGAACCACCAATGCCCATGGATGTCAGTCACCTCATTGGCAACATGAAGCGACAGGCTAAGCTATGTCTGTGATTTGTGAGATTGTTTAGAAGTAGATGTAGTATATTAGATTTAGAATATATGCATAACCACAGATGCTTGCTATGACGTTTTATCATAGGGTTTGGCTGATAACCAACCAACACCCACCAATCCCTCCAGAAAATCGAATCTGTTATTGGTGGCCCCATCAAGACAGAGAAGGCAATCCTTCCCCATCTGCATTCAGACCTTTCGAGTGTGGAGTAGAAGGCAGATTCTAAGAAAAAACACTGAGAAAAGCCAGCCCAGATCATGACACTGGAGGACACTCTCACTGTGAACTGTGGGTGAGGGTCCTGAGTTCCTGACTGCACCATGGGAGGCCGGCACCCAGATGGGAGCTCAGAAGTGACCACTAAGGCACAGTGCTAGGTGACATGTGACAAGGGAGGTGCCGAGCCTCAAGTGAAGGCTGGAACTGCACTGACTGAGGTGAAGTAGGTTCACATGCATGTTGTTAGGAGGAGAAAGGGAGGTCAGCACAGTGGGAATCTGGAGGCAGGAAGTGCTACTTCAGGGGAGTGGGCACTAGGATTTCTACCCACTGACAAAGGTCAGGACCAGGATCAGCAATACAGCTGCTCCGTTAACCCTCACACCACAGACAAACTGTACAGTTAAGTCCTTAGGTCAGGGAGTTGCTATTTCCTGTTCTGAAAATGTAACAGAACCCAGTCTGCACCATCAAAAGAGAGTCTAACTTCCTCTGCGCTCTGACAACAATCTCACAGACAAATGAGCCCAATTACTGGTCACCTGTGATTCTCCAGCCAACAAGACTCTAGAAAACATGAAGAGGTAAATAAGGGATATTTAATGTATACACAGATAGAATAAATAATTGTATTTCTAAGGTAATTTAAGGCCTTTGTAATTTGATCAAACCAAGCTATATACATTTAAACCACACTGATTAAATTCCAGTGACTCAAGTTATTTTAAAGTATTCAGAGAGAAGGCAGGTTATTATTTAAAACTAAATACGAAGAAAAGGATCTGCAATACTGTGCACATTCTCTTTCCCCCAAATTCTCCCCAGTAGGGGCTGCTTCCCAGAACCCAACTGACAAAGGGGAAAGGCGCAGAGCTGATCACTCGTGCCTGCTCTGTGCTGTCCTCCCTGAGCACCTCCAGCCTTCCTGCCCATAACCTACACTTCTCATGGGCAGTTTGTGTCTGTTAGTCCCACTCAGCACTGAGCATTTGCCAGTGTGTATTCAGCATAGTAAGGACTTGTAAAGAAATTTAAGGGAAGGACCTTCCAGAGGAGAGTCCAGGGTGCGGGTGAGCACAAGTCACTCCCTCTACTTTCAGAAACCAGCTTTGGTCCTTTCAGAGGCCAAGAGCTCCAGAATTCTCAAACTTTTCAGTCACAACAAATACCTCAATTCTGAGCAGGGTAAAATTATAAGTCATAACAAAGTAAAACATTTTGGCATAAGTATGCAACCAAAAGAGATGCCATCTTTCCAGCTAGTGTTACTCAGACCATCTTGCTTTATACTCAAATTTGCTCCGGATTAATCAAAAAGTTTTGGCATGGGTAGACTGCAAAATACCAAAAGTAAGTCTGAAAGGAGCCATGGATTTCCATTAAGTGCTCAGAATTGGCATGGTGGGAAGTGTCCACAGGCGTCATCTTAGGAACTGAGGCAGAGCAAGGGGCTCAATCACCGGGACCTGAGCTCCGAGAAGCATGGCACTGCCATCTCCCCTGCCCCACTGGGGAGGGCAGGATGCAGTCTGCAAATCCACACTTGAAAAATGGGCTGTTTTGGTTGACAGTTATTTGTGGTTTTTTTCTCAAAAGAAAAAGGATATGGGTCTTTTATGAAACAAGGTTGCAAAATAGAAAGCTTTTTGTTTTCAGCCAGGAGAGAGGGAATGGGAATGAGCCTTCTGTGTAGAGTCTGTAAGTGCAGTCCCTGAGGATGGGCAGCTCAGAGAGTCCCATGACAGAAAAGGACACATGCGGGCATGCTGGGGAGAGCAAGGACTGCTGAGGACAGGAATTTGAGTGCATATCCATGAATTAAAGGAGGGCTGGAGCAAGAGAGCCCTTTCTCGCTAAAATAGCTGGAGCAGGAGGTGTGAAATGTCCCAGGAACAGCCTTACACAGGCAAGAGGCGCAGTCACCCTTACGAACCTTTATCTGGACAGAAAAGAAGATGTTTCAATAAAAACAAGCGTTAATGACAGTTCAGTAAAGAGGGTGTTTATAACTCTCAGTTCTAAGTGGGCTGTGAAGTCACTTCAGGAGCCAGCAGCAATCAGAGTACTCAGGGGTCACCTCTGCAGGCCTCGCCTCTCTGTGATCACGGCCCCTCCTGACTGACTCACTCCCCAGGACCCCGAGGCCAGGAGGAGGTCGCCCTTCAGCCTCCAGCCTTCTTTAGCAAGAAAACCCTGTGATGCACGGAATCAGTTCTCTCGTAAATGGATGCTACAAAGCACAGGGAAATACGACCAGAAGGGAAACACACCACTGAAAGTCTGGCCAGGCTTTTCAGAAACACTCACTCCCATTACAACCCAGCTCACTGGCATTTCAAATCATCAGAATTCTACACACAGCTCCTGGACAGGACTGTGTGACAGATCTCACCTGCCTGTGCCCAGGGAGCTGTGTGACATGGACATGGATATAGACTGTCGCCTGCTTCCACTTCTTTTGTTTTTCATTTTCTTTGAAGCACAAGCTCACTGTTACAGATTAAAATACGGTAAGTACTGCTGGGACCTAATTGTACATCATCTTAAGAGAACTGCCAGGTAGCTGGATACGGAAGTGTTCTCCCGAGCCACTGTTTCCCTCATGGCCAACTAAGAAATGCCACCTTGCTGTGAACAGGAAGGCGGGCAGGGCACAGATGCTCCAAGCCAGGAGGATAGGCTAGGTCTCATTTTGTACCTTTAGTCTTTACACGACTAAAGACCCCTTACAGAGGAAATAGTCAGGATTTGGCTGGAACACTTTTTTATTACAACATGTTTATACATCTGCAGGTAGAAGAAAAAAGTTTTTACCTTCCGTTAAACAGAATGGCTTACCCCCCTACCCCGCCCACATCACTTGATTATGGTTATGGTTCAACACATGCATTTTTCAAAGGATCATTTACTCATTAAGCCTCAAAGGAATTCTGTAGCCATTCCTGGTTACTTAATAAATTCAAAATATGTAAATGTATGTTTCTTCTCTCTTTTGTGATGCTTTTACTATTCCATACTTCAAACTTACCCTTTCCCATACTGTCTGAATTAGTGAGGTCCTGCTAAACACCTAGTAAATGGCCACACATAACACATAACACAGACACGCAGAACAAGGGAAAACATACACAATGTAGAGGTTTAAAAATTAAACTAAATGAAAAAGCCAAACAATGGAAATACTATGCACCAATTTCAAAGTGTCCTCTGAGGAGGCCTGGATTCACAGACAGCCTAGGAATAGGCTGGAAGTACAGGTAGACAACTGAAACAGGGCAGTGCTGTGTTCATCTGTTTTGTACACTGGCCAACTGGAAGAGGTTATCTTTTGAAGAAAGGGTTCCTCAGTAAAACAGTTTGAAAACCATCTCTGTGCAAACTTCAAAAAGCTACATATGTCAGCAGACGTATAGCTAAGGAAGACAGAAGAATGCCAAAGTAAATGGATGGACAGGATTTTTAACTCTCCCTCACTTTAGACACATGAACTGCACTGGTCCAAGAGAAACATCTCAAACGATCCACACCTTTCCACACTGGGAAAGAAACAGTGCTGAGATTTCTTCTAGAACCACTATTCCTCCCACTCTGCGCTAAGGAGGTCAGAGAGAGCGTGGCAACAGCAGGCCTCTTCCTTTCTCGGCACAAGAGGCCCTCACTCATCTCATTCCACCTGTGCCCCAGCTACATACAGAGCAGCTCAATTCTCTTCCCATTTGCCAACCAGCATCTACAAGACATGTAACAGAAACATTTAACAACAACTGAAATGGATTTACCTGCCAGCCCTTGTCCGCAGTCCTGTAGTAGGGATAGTTTTTCGTGATGTGTGTATAAATTCCATTTAGGGTGAGTTGTTTATCAGGAGCCATCGTAATTGCTTGTACGATTAATTGTGCATAGGAATAAGGTGGCTTTGAATCATCCTGTGTTCAAGTTAAAAAAAAAAAAGTACTGAAGTTATCAAAATTTTTACTAAATTTACTAAAATTCAGGATTCTTGACATTTTTGAGCATTCCTACGATAATGCTTGGTTTTCCTTCCTATAAAAGTAATCTAATATGATGGAGGAACTCCCTGGCAGTCCAGTGGTTAAGACACTGCACTCTCACTGCTGAGGGCCCAGGTTTGATCTGTGGTCAGGGAACTAAAATCCCACAAGCCACGTGGCAGGGGGAAGAAAAAAAAGTAATACAATATGATGGGAAAGCATTTGGAAAATTGGGAGGAAGCAAATGGATGCATGTACAGCAGCATAAAAAAGAACATTAAAACCACATAAGGAAAAAGTCCAAATGGTAGAAATGGAAAGAATAAGAAAATGAGAAAAGCTGCCTCACCTCAGCAGGGTCCACAGCATGCATACTAAACCATGCCAGAGGCCCATCACGTGGCTCTAGCAGTCAAGTGAAGAGCTGGGCCAGGACAGTGGTGGCAAAGGGTGGAGTGAGCCACCCTCTCTCAGGCCCCTGTGGGGTCCTCATACACACAAGGAGATGGGGCAAGAATGCTGAACACCCCAGCGCCAGAGTGAGGACCACTCAGAAACAAGTGTCCATCAAGAGGCTCCTCCTGTAAGAAAACCCCACTCAGAGGAGAGCACCAGAAGCCAGACGCAGGGTTCCCACACCGGGGTCCAAGGCACTTGGGCAGGCATCGTTCAGGTGTGCAGGGCTGCCATGCACACCACAGGATGTTGGCATTCCTGGTCCCAGCGCACTCAAAGCCACCAGTGGCTCTTTGCCATTGTGACAACTCAGAACCCCATACACAAGCACAAAGCCACTGGGGAGACGGTGCACCTCTGCTGTGAACTGGGAAATACACATATCAACGGAGAAACCACAAAACGTAACGCTGAATGTAAACAGTAAGCTGCAAAAGAAAGCATTCAAGATGATACTCCTTATATGAGGTTTAGAAATGAACAATTTAGATATTGTTTAGAGATAAATACAAATAGGCAGACAAGCAGAGGACTGTAGGATGGGTGAGGAAGGAAAGTGAAGTGCCAAAGAACGGAATGCAGGCTTCACCTTCACTAAAGGCTAACTTTAGTCCTGACAGCTGGCCGTGGGCATGTGCTCTGCACTGGAAGACTGAACCACCTGTTATCCCAGCACCCCACTTTCATTTACATTTTTTATTTTTAAAAATATTTATTTATTTGGCTGCACCAGGCCTTAATTGTGGCATGTGGGTGTGGCCCGTGGGATCTTCGTTGTGACGTGCAGGATCTTTAGCTGCGTCATGCAGGATCTTTTATTAGTTGCAGCATGTGGGATCTAGTCGCCTGACCAGGGATCGAAGCCGGACCCCCTGAATTGGGAGTCTTAGCCACAGGATCACCAGGGAAGTCCGTTAGCACCCCATCCATCCATTCATTCACTTATTCATTCATTTATTTATTTATGGCTCCATTGGGTCTTTGCTGCTGCGCACGGGCTCTCTCTAATTGCAGCGAGTGGGGGTTACTCTTCGTTGCAGTGTGCGGGCCTCTCATTGCGGTGGCTTCCCTTTGCTGTGGAGCACGGGCTCTAGGCGCGCGGGCTTCAGTAGTTCTGGCACTCGGGCTCAGCAGTTGTGGTTCGCGGGCTCTAGAGGGCAGGCTCAGTAGTTGTGGCACACGGGCTTATTTGCTCCGCGGCATGTGGGATCTTCCCGGACCAGGGCTCGAACCCATGTCCCCTGCACTAGCAGGCTGATTCTTAACCACTGCACCACCAGGGAAGTCCCCAGCACCCACTTTTAAATAGCTGATATTTCCTGAGCACTTGGGCCAGGCTCTGCCCTGTCTGTCCCGAGTGAGCTCACGCTGAGTTACAGGAAAGGGACAGTGGAATGGCTGAGCTGGAGCCCACACCAGGTGAGAGTACAAAGCCTTCCTCACTGTGCCTATGCTGCTGTGTTTCCTTGTTATCTTTCTTCTATACATTTCAATTTTTTTAAAAAGCTTTTTTATATTGAAAAACATAACACAGACAGGAAAGCCCATAATACATCCATATCAGGTAAAAACAAATTTTTGTAAAGTGAACAACAGTACAACCAACACTAGGTCAAGAGAGAACACAGCCCCCGTCTCAGTAGCTTCCTCGTCCCCCACTGCCTCCCAGAGAGGCCACCACTACTCCTGACATTTTATACTAATCATAACCTTACTGTGACCTGAGTTTTACCATCTAAGAATGCATCTTGAAACAGTTTAGTTTTGCCTGGTTTTAAACAAGCAAATGGACTATGGACAAAAATGGAATCCAACAGAGGGTGCTCCTCTGTGTCTGCCCCTGCCCAGCACCCTGTGCAAGAGGCTCCTGGCTGCTGTGGAGAGACAGTGCGCAGCCACGGCTTATCCATTCCCATGGCTATGACGTGTCCTATGACACGAATATACCACATTTTATCAATACATAAAGTAATACCATGCCTGGTTTTATTTTTTCACTTAGCATTACATCAGGAGCACTTCCATATCAGTAACTATGCCACATAATATCCCCTTACTTAATCATTCTTCCCTCAGTTAGGGGCATTTAGGTTGCTTTCAATTTTCTGTTTTATATGAACTTTTGTTTTGAGATTTTTGTCCATTTCCCTTAAATGAAGTCCTAGAAGGGGTATTACTGGGTCAAAGAATAGAAATAGGCAGGGTCCTATTGTGGGCCATCAATAATTACCATCCAGGGACTTCCCTGGTGGTCCAGAGGTTAAGAATCCGCCTTCCAATGCAGGGCATGTGGGTTTGATCCCTGGTCAGGGAACTAAGATCCCACATGCTGCAGAGCAACTAAGCCTGTATGCTGCAACTACTGAGCCAAAGCGCCACAACTACTGAGCCCAGGCATGCCGCAACTATTGAGCCTGCACGCTCTGCAGCCTGTGCTCCACAACTAGAGAGAAGCCTGCGCACTGCAACGAACAGCCTGCGTGCCACAATGAAAGATCCTGTGTGCTGCAACGAAGATCCCACATGCCACAATCAAGACCCGATGCAGCCAAAGAAATTAAATAAATAAATAAAATTTAAAAAAATAATAATAATTACCATCCAAAAGGGGGGCTGATGTGTCCTCTCTAAAGTGTGTGTTTGTGTGCATATGTGTTCACATGTACATTCAGACATGTGTGTGTGCAACCTTCACCATCTGGGACAGGAGGACTAAATCCCAAGAGTGGTCTCCTAGGACACCAGGCAGTGACCTTGTGAGGACCAAGGGTTCAAGCTCTCAGCACCTGGGCCCATAGCTGCCACCAAGGAGGGCCCAGTGCTGAATGACCAAAAGAATGCATCTCTAGTGCCCAGCACTGAGAACATGCTCAGCAATGACCCAACATCCGTGCAGACGTGCACTTCTCAAAAGGCCCTGGGGGGGTGTTCCTTGACATGCAGGCAATGCAGTGAGGACAGCTGGCTCCCCAACAGGCCCTGGGTTCTGTTTCGAGGCTATAAAACATTTACCTTTGGGCTGTCTCCACCTGAAGCTTCCTTCTCATTTTCTGGCTGTGAGTTGTCGGCCATTAAATTGAGGTCAGATGGTATCACACGGCCCATTTTGTAGCCTGAAGACCCTGCTCCCCGGGGGCTGGATGGACAGGAATTCGCAGCACTGTGGGCGAGAAAAGGTTGCTCCTATTAGTCTGTGGTAAAACGTACATCACACTGTGTTTCAATAACTGACTCTTATTTCAAGGAAAACAAATTTTAAAAGAGAACTTCAGCATTTTCCATGGAAAAATGGACTCATTAACTCTGTGAAATTTAAGATCACCCTAAGAAATCAGGTATTTGCTTCCACATGTGTCATCTTAGGAACTTACCAAAGACACAGAACCATGCATGATGGCTCCAGGGCTCAGCCTGGTAGAGGGACACAGACCACTGCTCTGCTCGCCCCCTGCCACTAGGGAGCTGAGGACAGGCTGCAACAAAGGACATGGCTTCCAGCTACACCGGAAAGGTCAGGGGGAGTCTGAAGAGAGGGGGACAGCAGCGAGGCTGAAGACAGGACGCACAAAGAGGGGAGGAGGCCGTGGATACAGACACACAGGCTGTGAGGGGCTCACAGGGAACACCCAGAAATCAGAAACAGGAACCTGTTTTCAAACATGCACTTTTTTTTTTTCACAAGGTAGGGCTTGGCCATGATGCTGAGAATGTTCTGATTCTTGATCTCTGCTGATTAAGAGCCACATTCACTTGTGATAATTCACCAAGTTATGTATTTAACTTACTCTCCCTTTTCTGTACAGTATTATACTTTACAAAAGAGAACAAGCTACTGAAATGGAAGGATGCCAAGATAAGACTGTTTTAAAAATCCAGTAAGTTATAGAACAGTATGTATGGTTAGATCTCATTTATGTTTTGGATAAAAAAAAGTCAAGTATTGCAAATGTATAGAAAATTTCTGGAAAAAATACCTAAGAAACAGTAGTTACCTCCAAAAAACTGAACTGGAAAGGAGGGGCCCAGGAGGTGGAACAACACACTATTACCTGGCACCCCCGAACACTACTGGACTCTCTACCATGAACATGCACCGTCAGTATATGCACCCACCCACGAAACAAGTGTTTACTGCATGCCAGGAACAACTCTTAAAGCACTGGGGGAGAGGAACAAGGCAGATGGCAGGACCACACTCTTGGAACTCCTGCTTTATGATTTAAAACTAGCTAACATAAATGAAGGGCCAATGTGGTGAGTGGCCCCACTGGCTGGGTGGTGGTGGGCTCCACCACCGTGAGCTGTCTCAACAGGGGGGTGCTCTGCTGCTCAGTGCTGGCGGTGGGGTATGGAGAGGGGATGAGCAAGGAAAACAGGATGAAGATGGGGCAGGGGGTGAGGAGAGACTGCATCAGCTCCTGACCCAATCCCTAAAGTTTCCAACCACCTCCAGTTCCCTGAGCGCCCACAGAACTTCTGTCTCCACATGGCCAGGCAGTGTGTCAGTGATCTGACCCTAAGGCTGCTGCTTCCACTGTGGGCCGTTGTCCCACGTGGGTAAACACGGGCTTTCTCCTCTTCCTCTGTGAATTCTGTGCACTTTTCACACGGTGCTGAATAAAAATCGGGCCACCGGCTGCTGACTTCTGCCTACCCACTGCCACACTCACCTGGTGCACAGGTAGTGCACCTGGTCCATCTAGTCACACACAGACTAATTCAACCAAGTGGGAGAGACAGAGGCAGCATCCTCAGCAGAGCAGCCGTGGCAGGGGGCAGGGAAGGGGCCCAAGAGCAGCTGCACTCACATATCACCAAGCAAGCGTACAGCCGGAGTCTACCCGACACTCCTTCCAGGCCTTTCCAGAAGGATACCTTTCTGTCCATGCTGGTTTTTAAGATAAGAAACAGAAGTGTCCGACTGAAAGCTACAACCCAGAGATGCCCGTGTTCCCTCTGTGCCCTCCTTGCTCTGCTACATGTAGGGGTCAGTCCCAGTGGACGAGGCAAGGCCTTCTCTGCCTGCCAGCCATGCCCTGTGGACACACCTGGACAGTAGGAGCTTGGCTCTCAAGAGAAGTAAATGTGTTCCTTTTGCACCTAAGTCTAACGTGAGTCACATGGAAGAAGATGCCTGAATACATACTTCACTCTTCTAAGACCCAACAGAACACAGGAGGACTGACCATCTGACTCTAGGACAGGGTCACGCCTGCTGGTCCCAGGCAATTCCTGACCTGACCCTCAGCTACTGCCCCCTGAAAGCGCGGGTTATGCAGTGGAGAGCACGCCTTGAAGGCACCATCCTCCACTTCCTGAGGCTCCCAGTCTCTCTCAGGACATCAGGACAAACAAGTTTGTCACCTCACTGTGGTCAAACTCAGTAATCCAAAGTGTAAGTCATCAGAATTTGCATGAAATTGTAGGAAACCAAAAAACTCAAAATGCAACTGAAAACCCACCTCACACTTTAGACCAATAAGACAAATCATCTATCCTTTAAACTTACACTCAAATAAAAGAATCCACAAGTGAAAACAAGGAACATTTGTGAACTGTGTTTCATATGCAGGAAACTAAGAGCAAACAGTGCTCAGAAACTAAACAATATTTTAAGTGCCCTCAACATCTCCCTCTCCATGTAGGTCAGCACCAGGGAAGGAAGAAGACGTTGCTGTGCGCTGCTGCCCACTACTGTGACGTACGATGGCTTCTGAATGTCCCACGCAAGAGGCAAGGACTGAAATTTGGACAGGGTCATGTCCACCTTGGCACATGCACACCCTGACCCCACGGTGACCCCGTCTACCATGGAAGCTGCTGTGTACCTGATGGTTCCTGTGGGGGAGGGGAGGGGGCTGATGAGGTGGGCCATGGTGTCTGGAATGTTGATGGTCAGCGGCGAGATGTGAGCCTGCACGGTCTTCACGGGGGACTCGGGCGCTTCCTGTTTCTCCCTCTTCTCGCTGGACAGGGCAGTGAATGTGATCTTGATGTTTGTGCTCGGGAACCTGAACGTGCACCTAAAAAAGAAAAGCCAACTGTCAGCGCCCATCTGCCGATCGGTGGGCAGGATGCCCCATCCACAACAGGTCGCAGAGCCCGAGTGTCCCCTAACATACTGGAGCCTCGACTTGCGTGGAAGAGTCGGAGAGAAGCCCACTTCAAGTTCACCTCACATGTTACAAGTCGATTAATGAGGGAAACACAAAGGAGGCATCACATGATTTAAAAACACTAGTAAGCAAAAACATCACTTAGACCCACTCAACAGGAAAAAAAAAAAACCAGGAGAGGAGACTCAAAAAAGATTCAAATACCACTTAATCTACACTGGGTAAGGGTCTGGAGACAGGCTTGGGATCTGGAGATGTGCTCTTGGCACTGGGTAGGTGGAGGCCAGGCAGGAATGCTGCTAACCCCGCAGTGCATGGAAGGTCCCATCACAAGGAGGAGGTGCCCCAGGCATGCCCCTCACCTGCTTACCTCTGATGACATCTCTTGTCCAGCCCTTCTCTCAGGTTCCTACTCTAGTCTGTCTGCAGCCAGTAGCCAGGGTGTTTCTAAAACAGCAGGATCTGCACGTGGTGTTCAAAGATACAAAAAGGCCAGCCTCTGTCTCTTCTGTCCTCGGGGCACAGCCCTTTCCTTCTCGAGGTCCTTCTCTCATGCTGTCCTCCCTCCACTTTAATACCCCAGTGGCCCCCACCCCACTGTGGGTCAGACCCCACATCCCTGCCTCTTGTCCGTTCCTCCTCTTGCTCACTACCCAGGGGTCCCCTCCCACCCCTCGGCTGCCTATCCGAGGGTTTCCTGACCGCCCCACACCCTGCCCTTGCTGCCGCCTTGTTCTTCATTTCACTCCGGCCACATGATTCTATGTTACCCCACTTCTGCTTGTTGTCACCCCAATAGGATACAACCTCCAGTAGAACAAAGCTCAGTTCACTGCTATAACCTGGAGACCAGAAGAGTCCCTGGTATATACAGAGAAGGCCCTCAGTACACACTTGTTGGAATTAATGAACAAGTACCCAGTTTCATACATTAAAAAGGTAATTAAAACAAGCAAATCACATGAATACAACGAATGGGAAGCCCACAATTGCAGCTGCCCCTTTGTCGCTAGCATGAGATCTGAATAATCAACTCCAGGCCTAGAAAGGAAAGGGATTAAGACCCCACTGGCCTTAATTTCTAGCACAATATATATAACAATTACAGGAGTAAGGAAGTTTCCTCCTTTTCCTCCCATTTGTAGTTCCCCAGCTCCCGTCCTCAGGCGATAGTCACTGTTCACCAGGAAGGCCAGGCTGTTAGAACAAGCATCATCACCCAGCACGAGGGCATCTGATCCTGCAGAGCAGTTACCTCTCTGTGCCTGTTTCCTCATCCACAGAACAGATGACAGCATCTATCTCTGAGAGTACCATGAGGATGAATTCAAATATTTATCAAACACTCAAATGTTTATTAAAATGAAAAAACCAAACTACCTTCAGCCCCACTGTAAGATGTCTATAGTACTTGCTTTTCCTACAGTTGGACACTCACCATCCACTGTGTTGTTCGTTCCGTCATCACCTGGGAACTCACAGAAGCCCAGACTGAACCAGAGGAGCAGCACACCCACCTGCCTGTCCTCCACGTGCCACGGAAGCAACAAAGCACTGTGCACAATTCCAACACGGGAATGTGAGAATGGGACTCCTCCCTCCCCCAAGGGGTACCTACATGTCTCCCGGGGTTTATTTCTGCTTTCCACAAAATAGGACCACACCTTGCATGTTGGCCCTCAGTCTACACGTTCCCTCAGTGTCACCCACAGGGTCTGTTCGCAGACAGACCTCAGCGCAGGCTGAGCGCTGCCTTCAGGGCTAGCACCACCACATGGGAGGACTTCCTTCCTTAGTATCCTATTCCCAAAGTTTCCAATTAAAGACAACAATCGTCTCCACGGCACAGGCGCCATCCATAAACCTCAGGCTCCAAGGGCACAGAGGGCATCTAAAGCAACGCAAGGCACTGTCAGGCCACCTGCTGACAGCCTCTGACCGACAGCATGTGAGAGTGTCCCGGCCATCAGTGGACACTGCCACTAACCCCACCCCCTTGACAGGTGAAAATGGTATCTCTGTTTGCATCTAAGCATGAACTTCTCATACGTGTATGAGCCATAAAACACATTTAAAAGCTAACCAGGTAGTCTGGTAACTTTCTGTTTTTCAATCTGAGTTATGATTACATGGGTGAGTTCCTATTAGTGAAAATTCATCGAGTTACACATGTATGAAACATACACTCTTCTGTATATGTAGTATACTTCAATAGAGAGGTTTTTTTTTTAATTAAAAAAGCCATCTGTAGATGGATACAGAAATTGGTAAAATGTTGATAACATGCCAGGGGGTTCACAGAACATTTCCTATACTTTTGGGTTAACAATGGTGTATTTCTTTACCTGGGCAGCCATGTTATAATTATAACCGATTTTTCTATGTAGGTTACATTCGAAGCAAAATATATCAAAACAGTGTTTGAGTTCTCTATGGAGTTCCATTAGTGATGAAATCCTTGTTCCCCTTTAGGGAATGTGAATGGCCACTGCTTGACTTTTCTAAGCTAGAAATAAAAAAACAGTGGGATAGCGACTTCCCCGGCGGTCCAGTGGTTACGACTCCATGCTTCTACTGCAGGGGGCCCAGGTTGGATCTCTGGTCAGGGAACTAAGGTCCCACATGCCACACAACCAAAAAGAAATAAAATAAATTAATAAAATAAACAAAGCTTAATTACAGAGACTAGGTAGCCCAGCCCACCCTACCCAACATGTTAAAAAAAAAATAGTGGGATAATTTTAATTAATTGTTTCACAAAAGTAAAAAGAGCAGCAAAACATTAAAACAGCAGACAAAGCAAGGTGAGTGTCAGATCTCTGTCTCCCCCACACCACCACCAAGAGGCTGTTACATCTGGGCACGCTGGTCCTCGTTCCCATGATGCACTTCAGGTCATGGAAAGGGTTTAAGAGCCTAAAAGATACTATACTGATTAGGGAAATTAAGAGCATGTTGCCTGGGTCTCACGCTGCTTCGTACCATCACAATACCTAACACCGTGTGCTCTTTAAAAATACTTTAACTGATCCTGAAAGATTTGTAATAAAGTTCAGTATAAAAACATGCATCTGTTTATGAGAACTCTGAGAAATATGACAAAATAACAGAGAAAAGGGAAAGATTTTAAAATGAACAATAAGAAAAACCAGACCGCAGAAAGCAGAACGGCAAACCCCTAAACAAAACATGACCAGGCACTGAGCACCTCTGAGAAGCCGTGCAACTTGAGCCACAAGTCAAAACTGAAGCAACACAACAGCTGATGGCTTCAACCTTAGGCAAGGACCCTGACAAAAACTAAGCTTCTTTTACTTGAATAAACATTAACAATTTTAATATGGATTCAGAGTTGCAAATATCCTTTTCTTCACCTCTCTCTTAGTCTCCTATACTTGGTGACAGGCATTTTTCTTGGAATGGAAACTCTTACAAATGAGATATGCAAGCCAATGGCTTGGGTCTAGAGCTCTGAATTTTCAGATTCACAAAGAAGCTCTAAGGATTCTGAAGACCTGTTATTTATTTATTTATTTTGGGGGGGGCTGCATTGGGTCTTCGCTGCTGCGCCCAGGCTTTCTTTAGTTGTGGCAAGCAGGGATCACTCTTCGTTGCGGTGCGCGGGCTTCTCCTTGCGGTGGCCTCTCTTGTTGTGGAGCAGGGCTCTAGGCGTACAGGTTTCAGTAGCTGTGGCACACGGGCTTAGTTGCTCTGCGGCATGTGGGATCTTCCCAGACCAGGGCTCGAACCCGTGTCCCCTGCATTGGTAGGCGGATTCTTAACCACTGTGCCACCAGGGAAGTCCGTGAAGACCTGTTCTTTATATATCAATACAAATCCAGGCCTTACTGCAAATACTTCAACACTAACATCATACAGCTAGGCAGAAATAAGCCACATTGAAATAAGCCTCCAACCAAACGGAAAGTCAAATTTAGTGATATCTCTATGCAAAGCAAGTTCAAACAATTAACCAGTTAGGCAAACTATTCCCTACAACCAAGTCCAACTGGGCCACTTCAGAGGTGTAGGTGGCCTCAGGAAGAGGTTGGCTCCCATACCCTTTACCCCACAGAGGACGAGACAGGCAGGAACAGTGGTCTGGCCCCACAGCACCACTCGGAAAGGTGAGTGCAGCAGAGCAGCCTTCCACCTCAGCATCCACAGTGACGGCAGGCCCTGGGGGAGGACAGCCACCATGTCCCCCAGCCTCCTGTCATCCTTCTCTGTCGTGGCACAGATTACTCAGACACACTTCCTGAGTTGGAAAAATCTCCCCACAAGTGGGCTCCATTTCTACCTACTTAAAACAACACGTCTGAATGCGATTCAGACAGTCATTGTTAGGATAACTCTGGAGTCCCTCAGTTTTTAAAGAGTATTTTAGAAAGTTTAATGGGACAAGGCCTGCAGATGCCACCCTCATGGCCAGGGCACAACACAGCAACAGTGTCCCTGCCGTGGGGCACCGAGAAGACACTGCCTCACCTTTGGATTTCCTGCTAAAAATAACAAACCCAGATCTCACCAAGAGGAAACATCAGACAAATATTCTACAAAACTGGCCTGTCCTCAAATATTCTACAAAACAATGGGACTTTCCTGGTGGTCCAGTGGTTAAGACTCCACGCTCCCAATGTAGGGGGCTTGGGTTCAATCCCTGGTCAGGGAACTAGATCCCACATGCCACAACTAAGAGCCCACATGCTGCAAATAAAGATCCTGCATGCCGCTAAGACCAAGCGCAGCCAAATAAATAAATATTAAAACAAACAAAAAACCCCAACTTTCTCCAGCTCCCTAAATCTATGACCTGCTAACTTCCTATCTCACCCCCAGCAGATGACCCTGCTTCTTTAAAAAAAAAAAACAAACCAAACAAAAATCAACACAGAAGACACAGAAAG